AGTAAGATTGCTTATAAGTAAGCTCGCTAGAGATGGCCTAATAACATGTACTCTATCTGATCAAAATTGAGCATGGTTCCGAGCCACAATTAAATATTTATTATATTCGTGATCATGATGTAATTAACCAATCTCTAATTATCGTTTGTCACAATGAAGTGAAAACTGCTAAAATTTCAGAGCATGTTTTGAAAAGAAATTAATAACGTGCATAATTCCTAAGGAAATCAAGATACCTGGATTGATGATTTTTTGGTAGGAGCTAGGCAAATAAGTGATGATGAAAATGTTATTTATTATTTGAAAGATGCCCTTACAGCTGTGTCAGGCAGTGCAATTGCAACGAGGGTTGGATTAGAGCCTCAAATTTGAATGATGGAGATGGACAGCTACCAATCTCCAATGTTGGAATAAAAAGGGGCCCTGTGAGTGCAGCAGAAGAACTGAAGAAGACGTTTGTTTCCCAGTAAATTAAGCAAGAGTGTTTTTTAATAGTGTAACTAGACTATGACAATGCAAGACTTGTGCTGGATAAGAAATAATGGCAGTGTGAGTTAAGCTATCCACTAATCATTATAGTGCAATTCATATATTATAACTTCATTTATTTTAATACACAAATAAAGTCTACTAGTAAACTTATAAATAATATAATACAATACTAAATAATTTTTAAACTTTATAAAAAATTATAAATTTAGCAGTTGAATATCATCAAATTTAATATAAATCATGAGTAATGGAGTGAAATAATTCTATAAAAACTTACTCAATGACTAGCTTACTTAACATGTTGTGACTTATGAGTTATAAAGAAGAATTCACTTATTCTAAGAGGAGGGATTCACTTTATTTAATAACCCATAATTTATATTAAATTTTAATAATTAAATTATTAAATTAAAATTTTTTATTGAATAAATCAAACTTATAATTTTTTGTAAAATTTGAAAATTACATAATATCATTATTTAGATTCAAATATGCGTATAATATATTTTTATAAATATATACTAACTTGAATTAATGTGGTGAAATATTAAATAATTTTTAAATTTTTATAAATGATGATTAACATGTTTATTGTTATTTTTAATATATTTATTACATTTTAGTTATTTTGAAAATTTTATATTTTTAATTTTTAATTAATTTGAATTTAATTTTAATTTTTATAAAATAATTCACATCTATTATAAAATAAAGTTGATATGCTTTGATTTTAAATTTTTATATATTTTTATTCTTCATTGAGTAAAAATTTATATGTTTAAGTAATCTTTTTTATTTTTTCATTTTATAATATTATTTATTAAGCTCAATTATTAGAATAATAGCTTCTTATTATATATATGTACTTTTTATGATGAGAATTAGGGTGGACTACTTTTGCAAGTGATCTACCTTGGATTACTAATTTTATTTGTTAGATAAATTTAAGAAATATGATAGTAGAGTGCATTGGACTTTTTGGCCCAAATAAATTAAAAATTAAAAAATATACGAAATAAATTAAAAAAAAAATAATTTATTATTTTAAGTGATTTTTGTTATGTGGCATAGTTGTTAAATGGTACAAGAAAGACAAAAGTTTTATAAATGGACAAAACGTGAATGGATGGAGAACGAGACCCTTTGTTCCATCTATTTTCTAATGCACCTGTCACGTAAGTTTTTGACTAACCTGATGTAGGGGTCCTTGCGTTTTACTTGCCTTTTAAATGGTACATAAAGGCCCATACTCCATCCATGTAATTTCCTCTTCTGCACGTCATGTTCCCCCTTTTCCTTTATAAATTCATTTTCACCCTCCTCTCTCATTCCGAACCTCTTTCTTCCCTTACTCTTGTAAGTTAATTTTTTGTTTATAATTTCTTATTTATTTATTTGTGTTTTTGAATAATTTTTGTGTGTTATTTTACAGGTTAGATAACTAAATTTAATTTTATCTTTATTGTTGCAAATCGGTTACAAGTAAATATATAATTTTTATTTTTTTAAAATTCATTATATATTATAAATTTAAGAAATATAATATATGCGTTTAAAATATATATAGATAATTATCCATTAATTTAAAATAATTGTTAAAATATATGAAATTAAATTATCTTTAAATTTAAAAAATTTAAAATCTTAAATTTAAAAATTATATAATTTAAATTTCATAATTGAATATATGTATTTAATTGAATATTATAAATGTGTCTATTTTACTTGAATATGTGTATATATGATTTAGATATTTAATTGTTAAATGATTGAAGACAATTTCATAAATTAATGTGAATATTTTAGTAATCATTATGAAATTAAAAATCTCAAATCTAAAAATTATATAGTTTAAATTTAATAATTGAATATATGCATTTAATTGAATATTATAAATGTGATTATTTTACTTAATATTATAAATGTGGCTAATTCAAATAATATTAATAGAATTTAATTTTCTTTATACTAATATTGTAAAAAAAATTACACTAAACCAATTAGAGCTCGTAAAAAAGAATGGTTTTTAAAAATAATCTAGTTTATACCAATCAAAAAATTTATTTATTAATAAAAAATATCAAATAATTTATTTTATATATTAATTTATAATTGGACAACAATGTTCATAATACATGCCTAAATTATTTTTTCTGAGTTGAATTTCTAAGTTCATATAAATATAAGGCAGCCTTTATTATTTTTAAAAATTTATCTATTTTTTCGTTTAATAACTTACTACAAATTTAATCAAATTATATTAAATAATATATTTAAACTCAATAATATATATATATATAGGGAGTATATCAAGTGAGAGGGAATTTATTATGAGTGATGAGAGGGTTAAAATATAACCTTTAGATTAATCAAGTAAGTGAAAATTTGAGGTTTAATCAAGTGAGAGGAAATTAATCTAAGGGTTATATTTTAACCCTCTCATCTCTCATAATAAATTTCCTCTCACTTGATATGCTCCATATATATATATATG